CCAGGACCCCGGCGCCCCGGATCCCTGCCTCCCGGATCGGCGCTACCGGGACGTGGCCTCTTGAGGACCTCTGCCACTTGGACGCCTTCAGCCTTCCAGAGCCCAAGACCCCCTGTCCCAGCCTGATACACTCCTGTATTCCCATCCCTAGGGCCGAGAAACCCAGGGGCTCCCAGCTTTCGGGCGCAGGACACAACCTGGGAGAGCAGAGGAGCCTCGGCGCCCAGCTTCGGGATCTCAGACACTCCAGCTTCCACGAGCCAAGGAACCCCGGCGCTGTGAACTCCCAGCTCCAAGGAACCCTCCAAAGTTCCGGCCTCCAGGCTGTGTTACAAAACTCTCCGTTCTAAGGAACGTCGGCGTTCCAGGAAGGAGCCCCCCCAAGCGCTCGCAGCTTCCAGACGCCGCAGAACTCCGGGGGGCGTTCCAACATGGTGGCCGATCCCCCGCGCGGAGACCCCAAGGGGTTCGAGGCGGCCGAGCCCACCGGGAACGGTGCCCCGACGTTGCTCCCCAAAGAGGACCCCGACCCGGCAGGAGGCCGCTGCTGCGGTTCCCGGGAGCGGGTGCGCCGCTGCCTTCGCGCCAACCTGCTGGTGCTGCTGACGGTGGCGGCCGTGGTGGCAGGCGTGGCGCTGGGGCTGGGGGTCTCGGGGGCCGGTGGCGCGCTAGCGCTGGGCCCCGCGCGCCTGGCGGCCTTCGCCTTCCCCGGCGAGCTGCTGCTGCGCCTGCTGAAGATGATCATCCTGCCGCTGGTGGTGTGCAGCCTGATCGGCGGCGCCTCCAGCCTGGACTCGAGCGCGCTCGGCCGCCTGGGCGCCTGGGCGCTGCTCTTTTTCCTGGTCACCACGCTGCTGGCGTCCGCGCTCGGCGTGGGCTTGGCGCTGGCCCTGCGGCCGGGCGCCACCTTCGCCGCCATCAACGCCTCGGTCGGCGCCACGGGCGCGGAGGAAGAGGCCCCCAGCAAGGAAGTCCTCGATTCGTTCCTGGATCTTGTGAGGTCAGACCCCGCCCGCCCGGTGGAAGTGGTCTGGGGGGGGGGGCGGGG